GAGATGAGTGGGACCAGGTTGATTCAAGAGGTGGTCAAGGCTGGTCGGGTCGGAGGAGTTTTGGGATTTCTTGGAAGTTTGGGAGAATGATTCGTAAGTCGGTGGGGACGACCAACTTCCCCGCCGCATTTTTGAGCAATGTCCCCCTTCACTATTGGGCCACATTGTATTTGAAGCTGTGCTATTGGCACCGTTTTACATTGGTTCTATGTATTTTTTGTATTTAGTCTATATCTCTCTCTTTATTATATGAATAATCATTGCAGACACGTGATCAGGTTCGGACCTCCGTTTGGCAGTTTGCATTTGAATTGAATCAATCAATAACATAAATGACGCAGGGGAAATGAGGGAATTCCACGTTATTGCAGGTTGAAGAAGTTTCACACCAAGATCTGTACTTGGGAGGAATGGGCAGTGCAATTAGTGCCGGCTGCTTTGCAATTTGCCCAGGACATCGCAGATGGTTATCCATCCCATCGCCATCGTCTCGTTGTATGCAATATATCCATTTGTGTACATTTGATTGTATTATTCTTAAGTTGCAGGGCGGGTTGTCTATGTGTGAATTATTCATGTTTGTGATGCCATTATGCATACCTCAGCAGCGTTTAAGGTCGTGTATCAATGGACAACCAGAATCCGGCGGCAGCGTGGTGTGCCTGTTTCCCGACGGACCTGGCTTTGCCCCATGCAACACACGTTCGCCACATACCCGTGGCACTCCGTAGCCGTGTTGTTGGTTGTCGGTTGTTGCCAAGTTTGAATTCCGAAGAAGCGCATCCGTATAAAAGCAGTGATAGTACTACTACTTATCAGATCAGATGTGACACGCACGACAAACGCTATTATTTATTTCGGACGAGGCGGGGCAGTGCTGATGATTTTTCTTTTATAGATCAGCTGGGAGTTTGATGAAGAGAAAATCGCGACACCGGCAAAATTTAGCCATTACCCACGACCACGGATGTGCAGTTGCCGAGGGCGATCCAAGCGACCCAAGGGTTCCCAGACACGTGAAGTCGAGCACCCACATCCTCCTTGCGCGTATAATGGGCATTGTTGTTGTGCCTTGTCGAGTGATGATTGGTGGATTGTCCGTAAGTGGAGGTGATTGAGAAAGACGGGGGATGATTTGACGTGGAGATTTCTTTGGTTTAGGATTAGGAAAAGCCGAAGTGGGTGTGGTGACTGATGGTGTTTGAAGAACGTATGCATGCCATCCCATCCCGACTTACTCCACATCCATCCATCCATCCCCATTGTTTGTTTTTCGCGTGTGCAGTTGCTAGGCGTCGGCAAAGTGAGGCCGAGCGTTGTTCATCGCCGCGATTGAGTAAGGAGAGGCTGCTTGCTCTCCGTCTCTCCCCCCTTGGCCTTCCACGCAAAGCGTGTTCAAGTCTTGGGTACCTGCGTGTGTTGCCCGTTGCCCGTTGCGTGGACCGTGTGCTTAGAATCCCCCAATTCACACTTGGCCCAAGGTTATTTTTTATCTTTCTTCATCAAAAAGTTCAAAAGACAAAGGCAACTTTTTAAATAAGGAAGCCGGAGACCCTTTGGTAGTAAATAAGAGTTCGCTTGTTCATCGTCACACGGGCACTGGCAACGTCCTATATGCCCCGTACAGTACGTATATAACAACAACACTCTCCCCCTCCCTCCCGCCACCCCTTCCCTCTCTGTCTCACACATCCATTCATCAGTTCTACCTACCCGCCTACCTACACAACTCTACACAACCCTCCGTTGATCTCTGGCGTGCTACTCGTAGAACACCTCCCCTTGGCGCGTCGGTTCGTGATATTAATTAAACCCTCACTCTAATTCGCTTGCTCCGGCCTATCTGTGCCGGATCCGTCTGCTTTTACACGCACTTATATGAGAGCGGAGTGAGACAGGCAGCTCATTCCGCTTCTCATACCAACGACCCGGAACCACTGAAGCAACCATGGAAGCGTCACCCGCCCGAACACGGAGGTAATGTGAGAATGATGGGCCCGCATGGGAGGGGCTTGTCCACTTCGAACTGATCCCAATCGATCATGTTTTTACTCTTAGATATGTGCTTCTAATCCGACAACAGCCTGAGAGCGCAAGGTGCTGTGGGTTTGGTGGTGACGACGTCAATCCGCGACCAATTGATCCGATCGTGATTGTACAGCTCGGCATATTGAGAAGCGATGGGACTGTGAATACCAGGTGGGTACCAAGGATACTGCAACACCCAGAAACGTTTCTGCGAACGCATGTGTAGATACTGGATTGTCGTATATGCTGGTCGCAGGAAGCAACCGCCTGCACGTCTTTGGGCCACCCGATCGGGACTCGCAAAAAATCCCTGTCGACGCGATCCACTTCGAGAATACTATCAACACACAGTGTACATCTTTCATATGCACATCTGTTACATGTTAGCTTACCTTTTTTATGCTTGTCTCTCTCTAGCATTTCGCTTTTGGCCGATGCCTCCTCGCTCGTGGCCCATTGTGCGCTCCTCTCTCCGGATTATGAAGATCGATCGGTCGTCGTCGTTCCTACGCCGTCCATCTCAACAATGCCCATGTCGTCCGTGGGTTTGCCGTCATACGAGACACCACGTCAATCATTCTCTCTGCAAGCAGGAGCGCCCATGTTAAGCAGCACCGTCAAGGTTTCGGACGGATCGAAGCAAACCTCATCGCAAGCATCAAATTCGCGCGCGCCGATAGAGGTCGATCCATGGGTGTCCGAACTAGCACGATCTGCTGAAACGTCAACAGGCGCATCGCCTTCCGTTGCTTCTGCCTCTCCGACGGGCGCACTTCACGAACGTTCTGGTGACAAGTCACAGGAGCTTTCCGCGCCTGGTCCGCCAGCAATGTCCACTCATCACCAACACACGCTCACAGGCCTTGTAATCTCGCCGTCGTACTATCTGACAGATCTCCAAGGCAGCAAAGGTGTATTCTTCATCTTTTCCGAGATGGGCGTACGAGTTGCTGGCAGGTTTCGCCTTCGCATATCGCTTGTCGACCTTCGCAGCACCATCGCCGCTTCCGGGCCATCACATAACTCCGGCGAACCTTCTCGGGACTCGGCAACTGAATTGACATCTGTAGTTACCGATGTGTTTGAGGTCTATGGCGTGCGGGACTTTCCTGGGCAGAAAGAGAGCCCGGAACTGGTTCGACATTTTGCGGAACAAGGTGTGCGAGTGGGAGTACGACGTCGAGGATCTACCAAGTAGTTCATTTTCGCACTCACGACGCCTGACGAAACTCTTTTCCACAGCACATATGATGCTTTGGTCTCTCCACGTTTTGCGATCTTTGGTCTGGCCCTTGGGGTGTCGCGATTCATTTTGAATATCTATTTTTGAAAACAAATTGCCGGCGGCGTACACGTACTCACACGCACACACACACACACACACAAGATTTGAAGAACGCCCGCTATTATTATGATTGATGTTGCTGGCTGCCTTTTGACGCCGTTGAATCCTTTTTTCTTTTTTAATTTGATGATCCATGGGATTTTGGAGGGTATACCGTTTGTTCCACTGGTGAGGACATGAGAGTGTTTTGGAGCATGATTGTTGATTGTCAGATTGGAAGGCGCTGCGATATATAGCCTACTTGCTTTTAGTTTGCTACTGTTTGCTTTTTTCAATAAATTTTAAATTAAACAAGTCATGGCTCATACTGAGTAAATCACGCCGCTGGAGCCGTCCTGTGCATCAAACATTAGTATTAATACCGTAAGATTCTGAACACGGAATCCAAGAATAATCAATCCGTGAATGGTGTTCAGAGAGTGCCTCAGGGTTTGTGACAGTTCAAATACCCCATATAATGCATATGTGCACCCCCAAACCCCATTTTATATGACATTCAGTTATCAATACATACACACGCGTGAGCCGTCCAAAATGAGGGGGGTGCGTCGCTCGTACAAAGCATAAGCAATGAATTAAGCTATCCGCATCTTCCCACAGGAAACGACCTCCTGCATGACATGGCAAATGCCACCTACCACCATTACAATATACACGGCAGGCGATGCCACTCTCCACGAGATGTTTGCCAACGGCGCTTGTAGTCTTGAGAAACTGTTGCTTGACCGATGATCCAGGGCTCCATGGCACAGCCCGATGCCGCCCACATCCAGGATTGCACTCGTGTCAGAAACACCGACTCTGTTAGACTTGCTTCCTGAAGCGTTCGTGGCAAACCAGACAGGCAGCAGCAGCAGCCTTGGGACCGCCTCCTTGCGATTTGTTCAAGTCTGACGATGAGTCCGTTGACTCCAACTCCTTCCCTCTATACATCCGCCACCTCCAAGTATCCACCAGTGCCAAATTTGAACGAGATGCTGGACAAGTTAATCGAGATTCACCCAAACGACATTGCCTACGTTCAACTTTTGCGTCGTTTAGGTTGGGCGGATCCAGCAAGATAGCAACCAGTAGATCTTTTCCAGGTCGGGTGCACACTCGCGGCATCACCGTCATCGCGCGCAGCCGACAAAGGCAAGATCCATGTTGTCGTCTTGAACTCCATGAGCGTGAGCTTGGGTGGCGTTGTGTGGTACAAGACTTTCACAGTGTTAGCTATGGACGCTCCAAGACCAGAAGGCCTCACCACTCGAATGTACCATGGCCGCCTAATTTAAAGACACTGGCACGCACCGAGTCTGTCGTGCGGCTAACTCTGGGTCCCGTTGCATTTGAACTGTGTGGTCGGCGGTTGGGAACATCTTGTCGACCTGCCAGACGCGACTTTAGCTGTTTCCAGCGAGTACAGGATTACATAAAAACTTGTGCACACGGCAGGCACCCAGAAGAAGTACCATTGCGGAGCTGCTATTGCAGAGTAAAATGACATGTACATCACAACAAATATCGCTGAAGAACAAGTCATCTCCGTCCCAAGAGAATGGAAATGTCCAAAACTCGACGTTTCTCAACAGCTCGCGGTTTCAATATCAAATTTAAATTAGTTTGCACTGTAATAAACATCGGCGGTTCCGTAGTGTAGGGGTTATCACATCAGACTCTGAATCTGATAACGGGAGTTCGATTCTCCCCGGGACCTTTCATTTTAAGCTTTTCCCCATGTGGAATGGGGATCGCGTTCTGTGACAAAAACATTCGATTTAACCGCGAAAACATAGCGCAAAGCGTTTTTGCGTTTCACGCCATAATGCGGCAAGGAGGCCCGGCTAGCTCAATCGGTAGAGCGTGAGGCTCTTAACCTCAAGGTTGTGGGTTCGACCCCCACGTCGGGCTGACGTTTTGGACCGGCTGGTATCGCTTCGGCCAGTGTTTGACACGTTTTCATACCGTGCATTGTTGTTTTTGCAGTAATTTGAGAGTGATGGGCTTCCAGTTACGAGCGAGCACAGACGATGCAATGAATTGGAAACGATGAGTCCTCTGAAGATGAAGTATTCCTCGTGTTTGTGGCACCATGGACCGGTGGCATAGAAATCGTTCGATCGTTGAGACGTCATATCTGACGAAATCAGGGCAGTAGCTGTGCACTGTGCGCTGTGCTTGTGGTATTAGCAGGTGGTGCGGCGTGTTAGTTATGCCTCTGTTGCAGAAATTGGCAGTGCGCGATGCAACCGCCGCGCTTTGGACGTGCGGACGCGCGACTGTGACAATTTCGACAGGAGATAGGAAAACAACGCATGTGCAGCAGCTGATAATCGATTGGCGTAAGTGCCCGACCAGGTTTCGTGATCATGGAGAGGACGGGACGATGGAGGAATAGGAAGTTCGCGAGGGTGTTTTTTCTCTTCCTTGCCGACGACTTTTTTGGTCCCAATTTTTGCTTATTGCACCGGAGCAACCGGAGCAATGGTTTTTGTGGCGGAATGCAAGTGATTTTTTTAGTGAGATAGCCGATGTATGAGCAGCTCATTGGGAGAGGTTGGTTGCATGGATTGGAACGTCGGTTTGATTCACGCGACGTGATGAAAGCTGGACAATGGAGATGGCTTTGGCTTTGACCACTTCGACCTGTAAGGCCGTGAGGCCCCCGTTTTTACACTGACGCTCTCTTTGACCAACGTCTCCATTATGAAGGAAGGTGCAAATATCAGAGTTCTCTCGCTCCATCCATCTCTTCCAAAAGTAAAAAAGAAACCGCATCGATCCTCCTCAGCGACATTATAGTATTGTCAGAGAGTTAAACGTTTTTATCAAAGATGCCTGCTGCTAAAGCTGAGAAAAGGTCCGCATCCGCCGAGTGCGAGCTTAAGCCAGAAGATGATGATGAAGACTTCGAGCTCCTGACTACCCAAAAACCCAAGAGGGCGCGCAAATCCAAAGGAGGCCGCCCAAAAAAAGATTCAGATGCGCCAAAGGTTGATTTTCTCACTGCATTTACTTTGCGCATATCTTGACAAAAACACCTGAATGATATCTGATAGACGGCTCCGTACGCATGGTCACCTGCTCAGGACGAGTATCTACTGGAACTTTATAAGGAGCATGGAAAAGACTTTGCGCTGATGACCGAGAAGCTGAATCAGAAATTCGGCGTCACTTCGAAGATGGTGTCCAACCATTGGCCTGCGTTGAGCAAACGGTTGGGCCAGTGAAGGAAATGGAATTGTATCGTAGTTTTTGGAGGAGTCCAAGTGCATCTATGCTTGTATCGGTTAAAGCTCGGAAATGAATATCAAGGATTTCCGTTTTCAGAGTGATGATGCAGGGGTGGCATGCAATTGGTGTGAACAAGTTCAAATTGTTAAAATATATTCATTTCAATTTCGTTGACTGAAATTGCAAGGCGTTAAATTAAAGCACGTCCGTAACATTCATGAAGGTGGTTCTGTGGAGTGTGAAAGCAATTGGTTTATTGTTTTGGCGCAGCATTCGGTGCTTCTAGAGCGAGTTCTATGTGCCATACAGCATCAAACAAGCATGTCTAAGATCTACGCTTTCCCGCTATCCAGTGAATAAGATTTTCTCATCGCAAGCAAATTACAAATTACATGTGGGTTTTTTCTGATGCGGGTCCATGCTTGCCCTTCTTCCGGGGCTTCTCCAAGAAGCGAGACGGGACGTTGCAACATGTACGGACTTCTTATGACGAAGAGACGATCACTTGGGGCTTTGTTATAGGCGACAGCTACGAGCCTTACCTCGAATGGCCCCTAATGCAAACGTGGGCGGGCTCCAAGCCGCATCAGATCAGAAATCACGGAAGCACCGAGCCCACTCTTGAAAAACATTAAGAACAGAAGGAAACACTTGCCCATCCCTTCGATACAGTGCATCCCCAATCAGCAAAATGGATGTTGAATACAAACTTCCTTCAGAAGTTATCTCCATCAAGCGCCCACGCTCGAGCTCGCCTGCGTTGGACGACGCAGAGTGCTTCGGTCCAAGACCCCGCAAGGTGACTCGCGGACACAGAACGACCGCAAGAAAGGTACCCAAAGAAACAGACACCCATGGGCGGAAGGTATGTGTGCTGTCAGAGCATGTTTTTTCTCACCGGACGAGTAAAGTAATACATTATGAATGACCTAGGCCAACTACCCATGGACTCCATCACAGGATGAGGTTATCAGAAAGATGTACGCGAAGCACGGCTCAACGTGGCATGTGATTGTGAGTGTCTCCTCGTTCGAGCGTTTGTGGACCGGGACGTTTGTCTGACGATGAGCTCTTCAGGCGGAAGAATTGAACAAACAGTTTGGTGTCACAGGAGCGATGGTGTGCAGCCACTGGAGGTCTCTTAAGAAGTATTGATGCAAGAAGGCGGGTTGCGATAGTTTTCATACCACGGTTGATCATGCATGCATCCGTGGAGCCGAAGCGGATGCGCAAAAATACACAGTCATCACCTACGATTTATTCAACTTGGGAATGCATTATACATCATGAATCTAATCGCCCAACTGTATTGAAAGCACCGAGAGTGAGCCCAAGAACAACGTTGTCATGCAGCAACTCTAGTCTGCTGAGCTTTCGGAGAAGGAAACGACGGGGCTTCCGAGACGTGTGAGCCAGCAAAGGTCGCATGTCCCCCAGCAACCACGGACTTCTTCCGCGACCTTGCCTCGTCACTTCCAGAAGAGTTTTTAAACGAAGTCGGTGGTTTTATATGAATACTACAAAATTCATGCGTTCATGAGATACTACTGACTGTTTGAAGAAACAATAGCCACTTTGTAACGTACTGATATACGGACACCGCGAAGAACGGTAGCAGCAATACGCAGCTTATGTATGTCCATATAAGTCCAACCAGGTAAGAAGAAGCTTCCCTGACATGTATCTCATATTTGAACGCCGCGTAACAGGCCATCACAATCGCAGAGAGGATCAAAAGAACTGTGATACATGTGAGAATGATGATCAACTAAACAAAGCGTTAAGTAAAGACCCGCATGAAGGATGTGTCGACTACAGCTTACCGTTCGCAAAGCCATGCGGTACTCGGCACTTTGCTTGCTGGTCTCCCCGCCCTTCATCATCTGATTCGCCTGCTTGAGCAGCATCACAAGTCTTGTTCCATACCACAAATATAATCCGGCAAGCGCAACGCAATATGAGCTCCAAAAGCCATAATGCATTCTATTCCAGTGTCGTGCTCTGTCCCAATTGCCTAGGTCTCGATAATGGCCGTCCAACCCAGCAAATATCGGGAGTGTTATTAAAGGTATAAAGCTGTAAGCCGCAAATAGAACGTTGAGAGTGAGCGGTCCGGGCAGCGACACTTTTGACAAAGGTGCATCCCCATTTGATGATGATGACATCTTAAAACGAGGTGTCGCATAAATCAGACCAACGTTGAATGCAACACCGCCAATAAAGAGAATTATCCACGGAAGATCGAACTAATGAGAATCTTTTAGCGCCGGAGCGGCGTTTTCCGCCGACTTACATTCCCACGTACCATGATTTCCGTCAGCGCTGCGCTTCCAAAACCCGACGAGAGCGCCACGGTGGTATAGATTGCACGAAGCAAAAGGTGCACGGTACTCAAAAGCGCAAAGATTTCAGTTGCTCTCGGTTTCAGCCCTCTATTGACCACAACCATAAGCCGTTTTCCCACGCTCCATATCGGAAGGTATATTTTTTGGTAAACAATGTAGCTGCCAACGGCACATAACACTCCTGCCCAAGCGGTATGCACAGCATACACATTTCTCCAGAATCCTCTATGTGCAGTGATAGGACAAGGATCAAGCATGCGCCAGTCGCAGAAATCCGGTGTGTAGAAATCCGCCATTAGATGCGATAACAACGAGGTTTACTCAAGGTAACGGCAGACCAGAATATAAGCCCCTCTTTATATTTGTAAACCAGGTGCCAAGTTCGATCTCGGGGTTTCAGGGATATTTTGTATTCCGATGTTACACCCTTCCATGGTTGCGGACTTGCGATTCTCGAACGGAAAGCGGGTTTCTACCGAGGGACTGAGAGTGTCCCTTCTGAGCCTTTGTTGACGGTACCTTGGGCGTTGGACAGTCATTGATGATGTGTCGTGAAATGAAATCGTGAATCCTCCGTGAAGGACGAACGCGGCGACCTAAAAATAGCAACGTCGCGGGGGTCATTCAGTAGAGTAAACCCAGGTAGCCAGTCGTGACATTCGGTCTTTTAAGAGCATCCGATTAAAGACGTCCTTTCCGGGACCGTAGTTCTGGTGTTGTTCAATCTTCAACATGGAAGCGAAGGAGTTTTGACAGGGATGCTCCGACAACGCGTGTGTGGCACAGTGATTGAGTATTAGATGAGTCGAGCTGTGCATGTGCGTAGGTTCCTTTCATTCCTCCTTCATGTTCAAATTCCGTACTCCAAGTACTCCATCCCCGGTCCAGTTACTTTCATTGCTGCTTGGGTATCCCATCCTGGCTCCGGTTTCTGTCTTACGGAGACTCCCCTGGTCTGCGTTGCGGTTGGTTGAAGTTGTCGCTTCCGCATCCGCATGGATCCTCTGCAGCGGAATTCCAGTTTCGAACAGTAGACTTGCTGATAGGCACCATCTTGTGTCGAGTGAGAGTGTTGGTATTGGCACGTCGAGATGGGGACATCGCATTTCACAGTGATCATACCTGCCGCGCTGTACCC